ATAGTTATGTGACAGGACCTGAAAATACTTACTCGGGAATGCTACAGTCACTACCAAAAAATTCTGTACTTCTCAAATATTATTTAACAAAAATTAGAGAATCACTGAGTCAATAAAATTTAAAATATCTTTCAAATACTCACAATGAAACTCTAAAATATAAAACAAATAATAATTCTATCTTTAATATATTACCAGTACAAATATTTCAAGCTTAAATACCTAAAAAATATTCATGAACATTCTACAAAAGGTACAAGAACGTATTTTTAGGCAAAATGGCATGTAATCCACCAAAAAGTTAAAATCTACTAAACTTCAGTGTGATCGTGACCAGTCCAGTCACTCTTTCTACCAGCTGAGTATGAAATGAAATTTTTATAACGTGTTCTCACCACTTCTTGTTTTTGGGCTTCATTAAGTTTTTCAGTCAATTCTTCCAAAGCCCTTTTTGTTTCAGCGTCCGATCTAAGCAAACAAACAAAAAAAGTTTGAATTGGTTACTTGAGAAAATATATATAATTAGTGAAATTTACAACACAAAAATGTTATTACATAATACTCTACTGCAATGGTTCTTAAATGTTGGAAAGCTTGAAACACCTGTAGGGCTTGCTAAAAACAGACTTCGTAGATTTGCCGTGGAACACAAGAATGAACATTTCTACACATTCCCAGGTGATGTCAATGCTGCTGGTCTGGGGATTACATTTTAAGGACCACTGCTATACTGGAACATCACTCTCGACAAACAAAAGACTGCAACATTCCCATTTCAAATTAAAAATCAAGAAAGGGAAGGAAGACAAAAATTTTGATCTCATATCCTTCCTAGCAATTTGTGATCAAATTACATCAGAATATACTATACAAACTCTGTCCTCACTAACTTACCTATTACCTTTTTCCCATCAAATTAATAATACATAATAAATAATCAAATAATACAGAAAGACTCAAAAAGAAAAAAGCCCTTTCTCTCTCACACTTCCTTACCTCTGGTTCCACTCCCATTGGCCACCAATGTTCAACCATTTCCATTCTTAATTCTTTTGATAGTTACCCACATCATTTTCGACTCCAGATACTTTCAACTGACTCTCTGTTTTGAAATATTTAGGTCACTCATATTACTCCCCAATTTCTGGTAAATTTATTATTGTGTTTAATTATTTTATTGGTGACCTTTGTAACTTACATAATATATTTATACCTCTTATGAGTTATTCCATCATAAAGAATTAATGCTCTCTGCTTATATTTTATCACACTCACATTTTAGTCAGCTTTATACTTAGATCATTCACTTTCCTATGCTTTTGCTTTATCTAGAGCAGTTTCATTAGTTTTTGGCCTTAACATGGGCCTTATTTATCACATCATTGATGTTTTTCTCCCACTTCTTACTGAATCATCTATTAAGAATCTACTCCATTCTTGTCAACTACATTCTTCCTACTAAGTTAGTGTAGGTACTTGCTGGTGCTATATAGCTATCATTCTGGGTATTACTTTCACTGAACTTCTGGATTAGTTTTACTATTTCTTATAACCTATTTCTTCTTTCTTGGTTACCATCCGATTTTTTTATATGTCCCTATGTAATTTCCTCAGAAAAAGTTACCTTAAAGGTATATTTTCTAAGTGTTTAAATCTCTGAAAATGTCTTTATTTGTACCTCTTTCTCAGCTTTTACAGTTCCATGCACTGCTGGATTTTCCCCAGCTGTTCCTTCTCAAGACAGACTTCTGAATATGAGAACTCCTTGGCACCCAGCCCTGTCCTTGATGCTCTCCTGTAGTTTCTCTCTAGGTATCATCCGTTTCCAGGGTTCCAAATATCACTTTCTATACGCTAACCACTCTTAAATTTATATTTCTAACAGTTTTCCTTTGAGCTCCAGAGTAAACATCTAGCTGCATATTTTACATTTCCATGTGGATGTTTCACAGGCATCTCAAACCTAACAAATCCAAGGCCAAACTATTGATTTCTATATCTCATTTACCCCCAACATTATTCTATATTTCAGGAGTTGATATTACCATCTACTCAGTTACTCAAGTCAGAAATGTGGGAGTCATCCTTAGTTGATTCTCCATCATTCCCCATATCCAACCTATTGTTAAATCCTCTCTCTTCAATCTTCAAAAATATCTTGAAGCACATCCCCATCAACCTCTTCCTCGCCATAATTCTGGTCAAGCCATCCTCTCTCATATGCTAATACAATAGTCTCCTAATTTACCCTCCCTCAAATAAATTTTCCACATAGCATAAAGTAGGTGAATTCTCAATTAAACTTCTTTTAACCCTTTCTAAAAGCTTGCTTTCCAGTATACATTTATTGTTCAGTGTACCTTGTATAATAAATGTAAAGAAAAATGAAAAATTACTAATTAAATAAAAATATCAAACTTTCTGAATCACACAGAAATTTAAATGTAGCAACTTTCTACCCAGTAGTTTATGAATATGAATTAACAATTTGTAGTACAAGTAAAGTATAATTGGTTCCTAAAATCTTCCTCATCCATAAAGTTTCACCACCAAGTTTCACAAGAAACCTGACCCTTATATTGGATTAAATAAAGTTCCTCTGCCTCACATACCTCTAAGTCACTACCAGATGGTACAAGCCCATGAATCAGAAGATTCCCAGTCTACCACTATACACCCAATGATCATTTAAACTAGTCAACTAAATCATCCCTGCAATTACCCTGTACCTTCAGGAAATAGGACGACTATTTCCTGAAACTTGCATTCCTAGTGCTTAATTTATATCCTTCCTTCAAATGTGTAAAAGCTATGAAAAAGTCACTCCAAGAACACATTATATTGGAATGCTGATGCCATTCTGTTGATTTTGTCAACTTATCTAAGTATTAAATTAACTAACCCTTTCTGGTTTAAAAGATTAACAATATAGCTCAATAATAGAGCTCAAAACCCAGGACCTTAAATGTTTTATTCATATTAGCTATATGTGAAAATGATCTTGAACCACAGTGTACTCTAAGTGGTAAAGAGCAGGCACTTGATTTGAATTTTAACTCCACTACATCCTCCCATCTGATCTTCAGCAAAATGAGTTATTTCATCTCTCTGCACCCCTGTTTCCACATTCAAAAAATGGGGAAAACAATAATGCCCATCTCACTAAGGTTGTTGCAAGAATAAAACCTAAATCTACCTGTCATGAAATAAGTGTTCAATAATATTAACTAGCAGTAGTAGTACTGATAGTAATAGTAAGGTCTTTAATTCTTATTACTAAATTTCATTCCTTCCTCATATAAAAGCTGGTAAATCAAGCAGATTATAATTGATATTCATAGACTGAACATTTATAGCTTCGATTCTTTTTGCTACAGCAACAAAAAGCTGGTGTGTGGAATGATTTAGGTGGAGAGGGAGTTAGCAAGTAAACTTGGTAAATGAATTTCAATTCAGCCTTGTTGTTCCCTAATCACTGCTGTATAAAGATTCTGACTCTTGAGAAGAGATTAAAAAATCTTTGTTTCTTGTTAAAATATGGCCTCCAAATGAAAGCCAAATGTCATTGCTGATGAAAATGAAAAGACAGTGAAAAATTTTTAAGTAAAGGAATACTTCTTGGGAATTACCCAGAATTGACAAATTGCAAAGAATGGCAGACATAAACCACTGGGTTTAATAAGATTTCAGCTGAAAGCTAAAATATCAGATTCTACAATGGCTCATGGACAAATTCGACATTACACTATTTTTTTTTAAAGCTCCAATGTCCATCAGTTGGTCTCTATGCCTCTCTCTCTCTTCCCAATGTATTTGCAAATCTACCTCTTTGCTTAGTTCTCACGATGTACCTCTGTACTGTCAGCGTTCCATTGTAGTAAGTTACAATGTTTAAATATATGAAATTAAATTTTCTAACACTGTATTATGGTATGTTCTAAATTCAAAGAGTTTTGAACTGTTCTATTAATAAATTTTAAATTAGTAACATAAAAACACAGTATTATTTTTTAAATTCATGTAAACACATCAGTTACAGAACCTATTTTTTCTTCTAATGATTCACGCTCCAAGGAAAACCGTATTCTAATTTTACCGGCTTCGTCTGACAAGTTCCTGGCTGAAATCATTTCCAAGGCGAACTTGTTCACTGCTGAGGTCTCGGAGGGACTGATGAAAAGCATGAAGCTAATAAAGATAAAACATAGTTACCTACTTAGGATTCTGCTAAATTCTTCCATGAAAATTCACTGAGTATAAGAATAAGAACTTGCTCTTTGCAATAATGCCCACATTTCATAATGTTATTAAGACAGAATAAAATAAGTATCCATTCTGAAAGAAGTATTTTTCCAAAGAAAAGCTACTTTTTTAAAAGCTAGATATAAGCTTAAGCATCACAGTCTCTACAGTATAGTAATTCCACTCCTTACAGATAACCTAGAAAAGTGGTCTGTAAACTTGCTCTGTAAAGACCACAACAGCAAATATTTCAGGTTTTCAGGCTATATGGCCTCTGTCACAATTCTACCATTATAGCACAAAATTAGCCATGAACAAATGAGCATGGCTGTGTTACAACAGAACTTCATTCAACCAGATCACACTCCATAGTGTACCAACCCATGCTGCAGAGAAATTCTTGCCCACGTGAACCAAGAGCCACATACAAGAATGTCTGGAGCAGCAATGTTCATGAGAACAATAAAAATGAACCAAAAGTCCATTAAGAGTAGCATGGAGATAAATAAATTGTGATCTGTTCTTCTAGTGTTCTTCTACTAGAAGAACAGAATAGTATTCTAGAAAAAGTTTAAAGCAATACTAAAAATGATTTAAAAAAGAGAGAATGATTAATATAAAAGTTGATTGCCTATGGAGAAAGGAGGAACATAAAAGAGACTTTGGGGGGTATAATATGCTCTATTTCTTGGTCTGGGTGGTAGTTATATGGATTTTTCTTTCATATTATTGTTCTCTTTAATTATGTGTATGCTATAATTTGTAATAAAAAAAGTTACAGAAATGTGCAGAAACAAAAAATTGATTCATTTTAATAAATGCACATTGAACAACTGATCTAATCTGTGCTGGCAACTGTGCTGGAAAACAAGTACCTCACAATTTAACATGGAAGATGATGTGCAAACCACAAATGTTTCCCCCAGGGCATTAAGTACACAATCATATGGAGCTAAAAGTCATCTTAAGAAAATAGACATAAAGTATGGAAGAACAAGTAAAAACACAGGAGTGGAGATAATACAGTGAATAAACAATAGATTATTCACTTTGGTTTTGCCATCATGGTTTTCCAATTTTGTAAACCAGAATCTTAGGACTCATCCTTGCTACTTTTCATTCACTCCCATCCTCCCCAAATGATTGTCTGATCTTCAAGAACTTTCATTTTATCCACCTAGTAGCTTTTAAAACTACCCCTATTCTCTCCAACTCCATTTATCCTAATCCAAGTAACCGTCACCCAGAACACAGCAGTATCTTCAAACCATCTGGTTTGTCCACATGACTCCATTTTCTACATTATAGCTAAAGCAATCTTTTTAAAATAAATGTTATCCCTTACAAGGCTGTGCATGGTCTCAGCCCCTCATATTTATTTAGCCAAATAGCCTTCTTTAAAATGTTCATAGGTGCTATCTTCCTTCTTGCTATGGCATCTGTTCTACCTTGAATGACACTCAATTTTACAATCTCAGTTCAACCAGCCTTTCTTCAGGAAGCCTTCCCTAGCTAGGGCAAGTCCCTCTACTATAGACACCCATAGCCCTGTGCTTCTTTCTTCTGTAGCACACATCTTAGCTCATTATTATGGGGTGTATTTATGTACTTATTTGATTAACATTAGCTCCCCCTCTAGATCACAGCTTCATGGAAAGGCAAGGTTTTTGTTCATCACTTTTCCAAGCACAAGAACTGTCCCAGGACCGAGGCATTAAATAAACAGAATGAAAGAGTAAAAGCAAAATGTTAGGATATTGCTCTCTGTTCTTGGTTTAATCATATAATCCATGCTACCAAGTCACACCTACCAAAAAAATAACAGAATCAAGGGAAAGTTTCCATAAGGTATCTTCTAATGCTGTGGTTCTGATATCTCTTTAGCTTATGCTATAAAAAGCAAAAGCTACAGATGAGTATCCTACAAACTATGACCCCTCAATCCTAAAACTACCAAAAAAAGATGTCTAAGTCAACATCCCCTAGCCCTTATCTAATTAGTTTAGCTATAATTAGTTCAGCCCTCATGGAGAAGTTAAAAAGGCAGAAAAAGAAATATGTCCACAGAACTACTACTTCCAAAATCTTTAGTGAAAACATAGAATAAGTATGCAATTTCTTGCTCACTTTCATGGCTCCATTCATGATTCAACAATCAGAAAAACATGAATACAAAAATCGATAGGTTAGCCACACAAGGACTAAAGTGTAAACCAAACCTAGCAAAATAGAAAGTTGCTGACTTAGCAGGGCTCACAGAAGAGTAGGCCACCTGAACATGGAAACAAAATATGTCCAGCGAAACTTACTTTTAAATGTGCTACAAAATAAAATAAAATTCAAAATAAATGTGTGATGATGATTAGTACATTGAAGATAAAAATGTTTACTCAGTTTTAAAAAACATCAGTACAAAGTTACTGATGATCAAACTCTTGGTTAAAATATAGCCATAAAATAATAATAATAATAATAATAATAAGTGTTAGTCACTCACACAAAATGTAAGGAACAAAGATTACAGAATGGCACACGGTACCTGGCCCATGTCATCTGTCTCCCGAACAAATCGGACACCAGTTCTGGACCTAATACGTTTAATACCCTGTTGGTCCACATAGTCCTTAAGAGGTGAGGTAGGTGGAAAACGGTGGCTGTCTTTATAGAGGAAAGAAAAGGGAGAGAATAAAAACACTGCAGAGAAGAAACAGTCTAAAGTTTTACTCAGTAAATACATAGCAGATACAGATAAATATAGGTGCCTTTAAACCAGACTATTTCCCAAGTATCTTGCTGTGGCCATAATTCCATAAAACTGGCAGAACTAATCTTGCTCTGAAAACTGATAAACAACAGAAATAACCTGGTAATAGAACATGCCAATAGTTCTAATTTGTTATACTTTTCAAACAAGCAATATACTATTTTCTCTTATAAAAATAATAAATTGCTAAATAAAAATAACTTTTATTACTCTCCAAAACATAAAACTGAATTTTTCAAACAAATTAATCTAAAATCTGTTTTTTTAAATAAAAACTAAATAAAAACTAACAAAGCTACAAAAAGAATAGCTGATAGCATCTCATTTTTAATCATTATTATATGACCAACAGCGATATTAATGATGTGAGCTACTACTGTTGACTGTCTATATATCACCTCTCTTCACTGCAGACTTTCCTATTCTTTTCTATTCAAGTCTTTTCTATTCAAACGGGAACTTCAGGCAACTAAGCGTCATCAACTTCAATCTAGTCATTCAAATCTAGCCGTACAATAGGATACAATTCACCTGTTTTTTAATAAGTGTCATAGGATATTTCATAATCAGACTATTGAAAAACTATGAGTCTAGGACAAGACTTCTAATCCAGAAAGTATACAACATGGCAAATCCTATTTGTGTTTTTGTTTTGACAGAAGGCAGACATTAAATCCATTTTGCCACATAATGCTCTATGTAGTCTATGGAGTCTGAGAACAAAATAGACTCAGAACAACAAAGTCCCATTGAATATATTTCATAACAGTCACTATAAAATCCTTTACAACTGCATCTTCTACCATTGTATGTGGATGATTTTATGTATGGGTTGTATGTCTCCAAAGATTAAATGTATTCATTATGTTTCTGGAATATTTCTAAAACAAAAAAGTGTTTTCAAAACATCTTAAGAGTTTACCTGCCACAGTGCCACCATCGAGGTCACTTGCACTCAGACTTGTAACAGAAACACTTCTCCCTCCTGAGTTCCTCAATAAACGCTGACTCCGCAGTTGGCCTATTGATTGTTTCAAGCTTTCTTTTAACTAAATTGAAGAAGATAATGAAGGGAAATTCATTCTCTTTAGACAACTTCCAAATATAAATAGACTAGAGATTTTAAAAGCTGTTTCTGAAATATCTTAGTTTCCAGAGAATTTTTTATTGTTGAAGTATTGTTGATACACAATCTTATATTGGTTTCAAATGTATAACACAGTGATTCAACAGTTACCCATATTATTAAATCCTCACACCCTCTAGTGCAGTTACCATCTATCGATGTGGAAAGATGTTACAGAATCACTGACTATATTCTCCATGCTGTACTACCATCCCGATGGCCAATGTGTATTATGATTGAGAATTTTTGTGCCCCTTTATCACCCTCACCCTCTACCCCACCTGCCCCAAACCCTCTCCCTTGGTAATCACTAGTCACTTCCCAGTGTCTATGAGTCTACTGCTATTTTGTTTCTTGTTCTGCAGTGTTTTATATTTCACAAATAAGTGAAATCATATGGTACTTGTCTTTCTCCACCTAGCTTATTTCACTGAGCAAAATTCCCCCTAGATTTATCCATGTTGTTGCAAATGGCATGATTTCTTTTTGGTTATGGCTGGATAGTATTCCATTGTGTATATTTACCACCTCTTCTTTATCCATTCATCTATTGATGGACACAGGTTGCTTCCATATCTTGGCTATTGCAAACAGTGTGGCGATAAACATATGGGTACATATATCTTTTTGAATCAGGGATTTTGTTTTCTTCAGGTAAATTCCTAGGAGTGGAATTCCTGGGTCAAATGGTATTTCAATTTTTAGTTTTTTGAGGAACCTCCATACAGCTTTCCAGAGTGGTTTAACGAATTTACATTCCCACCAGCAGTGTAGGAGGGTTCCCCTTTCTCCACATCCTCACCAACACTTGTTGTTGTTTGTTTTTTGGATGTTGGCCATCCTTACTGGTGTGAGGTGATATTTCATTGTGGTTTTAATTTGCATTTCTCTGATCATGAGCAATGTGGAGCATCTTTTCATGTGCCTGTTGGCCATGTGAATTTCTTCTTTGGAGAAAGAAGTGTCTGTTCAGATCCTCCACCCATTTTTTTGATTGGGATCATTTTTAAATGTTGAGGCATATGAGTTCCTTATATATTTTGGATGTTAACCCCTTAACAAATGAGTCATTTATGAATATATTTTCCCATACTATAAGATGCCTTTTTGTTCTGCTGATTATGTCCTTTGCTATACAGAAGCCTTTTAGTTTGATGTAGTCTCACTAGTTCATTTTTTATTTTGTTTTCCTTGCCTGAGGACTGTATCCAGGAAAAAATTGCTCATATTTCTATTCAAAAGATCTTTGCCTATGTTTCCTTCTAACTTCTAAGTGTTTTATGGTTTCATGACTTAGATTCAGTTCTTTGATCCATTTTGAGTTTACTTTTTAGTATGGAGTTAGACAATAATCCAGTTTCATTCTCTTACATGTAGGGTCCAGTATTGCAAACACCAGTTAATGAAGAGGCTATCATTTCCCCATTGTATGTTCATGGTTCCTTTATCATACATTAATTGACCATATATGCATGGGTTTATATCTGGGCCCTCTAGTATGTTCCATTGATCTATGGGTCTTTTCTCTACCAAACTGTTTTGATTACTGTAGCTTTTCAGTAGAGTTTGAGTCAGGGAGCATCATCCACCCAGCTTGTTTTTCTTTCTCAGGATTGCTTTGGCTATTCAGGGTCTTTTGTGGTTCCATATGAATTTTAGAACTATTTGTTCCAGTCCATTGAAAAATGCTGTTGGTATTTTGATAAGGAATGCATTGACCTGTAAATTGCTTTGGGCAGGATGGCCATTTTGACAGTTCTTCCCATTCATGAGCACAGAATAGATTTCCACTTACTGATGTCTTCTTTAAGTTCTCTCATGAGTGTCTTATAGTTTTCAGAGCACAGATCTTTCACCTCTTTGGTTAGGTTTATTCCTAGGTATTTTATTATTTTTGATGTATTTGTAAATGGGGTTTTCCTCTCTGATATTTCATTGTTAGTATTTAGGAATAGAACAGATTTCTTTGTATTAACTTTGTATCCTGCAACTTTGATGAATTCAGTTATTAGTTCTAATAGTTTTTTGGTGCAATCTTTAGCGGTTTTTATGTGCAATATCATATAATATGCAAATAGTGACAGTTTAACTTCTTCCTTACCAATCTGGATGCCTTTTATCTCTTCAGTTTGTCTGACTCCCATCACTAGTACCTCTAGTACTATGCTGAATAAAAGTGGTGAGAGTGGACATCATTGTCTTGTTCCCAATCTTAGAGGAAAAGCTTTCAGCTTTTCATTGTCAAGTATGATGTTGGTTGTGGGTTTGTATGTGGCTTTTATTACGTTAAGGTACTTGCCCTCTATTTTATTATGTTGAGGTACTTGTACATTTTGTTGAGAATTTTTATCATGAATGGATGTTGAATTTTATCAAATGCTTTTCAAGCATCCATTGAAATGATCATGTGGTTTTTATCCTTCTTTTTGTTAATGTGGTGTTGATGTTGATGGATTTATGAATATTGTACCATCCTTGCTTCCTGGAATAAATCCCACTTTTTCATGATAGATGACTTTTTGATGTATTTTTTTAATTCTGTTTGCTAATATTTTGTAAGGATTTTTGCATCTTATGTTCATCAGGGATACTGGTCTATAATTTTCTTTTTTTTGTGGTGTCTTTGTCTGGTTTTGGTATTTTAGTGATGCTGACTTCATAGAGTAAGTTTACAAGTATTCCCTCCTCTTCTACTTTTGGAATACTTTAAGAAGGATGGGTATTAGCTCTTCTTTAAATGTTTGGTAGAATTCAGATGTGAGACTATCTGGACCTGGAATTCTGTTTTTTTAGGAGTTTTTTGATTACCAGTTCAATTTCTTTGCTGATAATTGGTCTGTCAAATTTTCTGTTTCTTCCTGGGTCAGTCTTGTAAGATTGTATTTTTCTATGAAGTTGTCCATTTCTTGTAGTTTGTCCAATTTATTGGCATATAATTTTTTATAGTATTCTCTAATAATTCTTTTTATTTCTACAGTATCCACTGTGATTCCAAAGAGTATCAGAGAAAATTTTGAACACTGTTAAGAAATATAAAAATAGCAAACATAAATATTTTAAGAGCCAGTTCTAACACCTGCTTTTAAATAGCATCTGTTCACTATCTGTTCCATCTTCTCATTGCCAGAATGTAGAAGAGATGTCTATCTAAGGGCTTACAAAACCAGACTGAAATGTCTCATTGATATGCCACCCAATTAGAAACATAACAAGGCCAGCATATCTGAAACAAGAGACAGTCTTTCTTCCTTTTAAACAATCCTTCAGGAACCCATATCTGTAACAAACAGGAAGCTGAACACCTGTCACAGTGACTATCACTACTGAAACAATGTACCCTGCCCAACTCTATATACTAAAACATCTCTTTCATTCATTCAGATTCAAATCCCAGAAAACCATGTAGTCAGATGTCAGACTATTAGTACATACTAGGGATTACAGTAGTCCAAATGCTCTCTTCAGGTTATTAGGGAGGCAGACAACAGGATACAGAAGAAGACATCTTTTTAAACCTAAAGAGCTACATTAAATCAAAACACACTAAATACTGAGAATAACATCCAGAACTGTTTAGAGCTACAAAGCAGTAAAGAAGATTCACCTAAAATGCAAAGGAACAAAAAGTAAAGCTGAGGAAATTCCACACACCCTGAATTACTGGGAAACTTTATATCTAGATATCTATCCAAGGATGAATAAAAATAATGCATAGATCCATAGAACATGTCATCTATAACTATTAAAGGAGAACAAAATAAAACAAATGATTGAGAAGACAAAATTCAGCCAGCATTAAAGGGTAGTAAGGACCCTACTTACAGCGAGAACAAGTTTGTTCCCTTGCAGAAGTGTGCTGAAAGAAAAGATGAAGGGAGAGCACATAGGAAACAGAGTATGAACCACAAATAAGCAAATCCTTTTTCCTTTTGGTTTGAATTTAGCTCTTCTTGAGAACCAGGTTAAAACCATCTGGATTAAAAGAAGTGGAGTGAGAATTTTAGACATATACCTCTACAGTAACTCTGATTTCTGAGAAAAAGGGCTAATATTTCCATGTTCTCTGTTCCCTACTTCCCTAAATTGGGGTATGTACAATACTATCCTGCTTGAGTATTCACCAGCTATAGGACCTAGCCCATCAATCCAGGGAAACATAAATGAGACCTGTGAGAACTAAGGTCTACCTTGAGAGTAATTTATATGTTAGTAAAATAAAATTGTATCTAATAGACCTCTGGTACACAAAAAACACAAAAATGTATGAGTAATCTATGACAAGCTCAAGCTCAGAATAATATTAAACAATGTTAATGTTTAAAAAGCTCAAATTATAAGAACTAGACATGTAAAATAATTTTAGATCACACAAGTTAGTGACAGAACCAGCTCTATTAATTTTTCCTGTGTTTCTCTTTATTATTCACAGCTTTCAAGCTAAGCCTGTCAGTATCCTTTTGTAAACAAAATCAACTGTCATTTCTTATTACTGCTTCTTTTTTAAAGTAACCTGCCCTTCTCAGCTCTGGCTATTTTTAAGACTTTTCTCTTTGACTTTGTCAATGGTTTTACTATGATATGACTATGTGTAGTTTAATCTGTTATCCCATTTTTGGCCCACAGAAATCATGGATTCTGTAGCTTGCTATCTTTCACATGTTGTAAATGCTCAGCCATCATCTCTTCAAACATTGTTTCTGCTCCATCGTCTCTTTTCTCTTCTTCTGGAAATCTAGTTACATTTAAATTGTATTTTTTTTGCCATATCCCCTGTCATCTATGCTTTTTCTATATTGTTGATAGTCCTCTCATCTTTTTGAATATCTTATGCTGGCCTATCTTTGAATTCGTTAGTTCTCTGTTCAACTGTATATAAACTGTTATTTGATCCACTTGTTGATGGTTTTCTGGAATTTGTGTTAC